GTATATATATATATATATATATATATACATCTACACACACATCACATATACATATACATATATTTGTACATACATTTATGCACACATTTATATATAAATTTTTTAGTATATTAATCTTTCATATTAAATATTTATGCCTAATTCTAATATAAGAATTTTACATTATTTCCTTGTGTAATCTATATATTATATTATTATATTATATTATATTATTATTATATTATATTATTCACTTTGTAAGTATAAACTAGAATTTTTACATAAAACAAATTTTGTTAGGTGATAGATCTGACTAGCATATAAAGTTAAGAGTAAATAAATATCTAAATTTTTTAGCTTTTATCTATTTTTGACACAAAATTAACCGATTTGATAAACATATGAGGCATATACTTTAATTATAGGAAAGGATTTTTAAATTTGTAAAACCAATAAAAAGATATATAGACATATTATAGAAAAATAGCACATCGGTGAAATAGACGATTTTAAAATCCCCTTAAGCAAATTACTAGATAATAATAGCGATCAACTTAATTGAACCTTTTAACTTCTTAAACGCTATTATTTATACGTTGCAAAAAATCAAGTTTATGTAATAAATTAAAGACCTTTTTAGTCAATCTTTAGTCAATCAATGATTGTAACCGGTATCTATAGTTTTAGAAACGTCGAAATATATAATATAGTTATTGCAATTACGCAGTTAAAGTCGATTTCCCGTATTTTACATGTCTATTACATTTACTTATACAAAATCAATCTTCCATATTTTATAAATAACATTTTTAAAAAACGCTGGAAATATACGCAATCATGTGCAATTTTATTTCGTCAAAAATGTGATCTAGTTTTTTTTCGAAAGAATATCTTTGAAAACATTTTTCCATAAGAAAATCAATAGAATTTAATTGAGGTATTGTTGAAAATTTATCACATGTTACATATAAAAAGATTTCTTTTCAATTGACAAAATGGAAGAAGAAAGTGCAGTAGACTTGCAACAAAGTCAATTTGAGGATACAAACAAAGAGCAACAAATTGTCGTTAATAACTTTAGTCTGCGGTAATATAACAAATAATCATGGATGGACGGTTTTCAATAATAAACGATTTAATTCCCTATTTTTTATTTTTTTATTTTTATTTTTACTTAACACAATCGTTCAAATATCATCATATTAGAATATTAGAGCATTAGAGTATATTTATATTTGCATGTATGATAAATACTTAAATATATTTCAAAAAAATACAACGAAACTATTATCAAATTATTTTTAATTAAATTTCGTCGAATTTCTTCTTAATTGATAATTCATTTTTTCTTTGATTTCTTTGAATCGATTTTGCATGAATTACAAAAATCGTATTTTTCGTATCTATATCTTATATTCGTGTAAAATATATACATTATCTATACATTACAAAATTTATTATTAGAAATATAATAAAATAGCGGAAAAAAGAATGCAGCTTTAATGTAATTGTAAGACAAATTGTTTAAATTGATTTTTCTAAATTTATTCTCCATCATTTCGCTAGCATTCGCTAATGCATTGTTAAGCATATTATTTCGTTGGTATAACGCAATGGAGAATGGTGCTAATTCCTTCACACGCGCGCGCGCGCGCGCGCGCGTGTGTGTGTGTGTGTGTGTGTGTGTGTGTATGATGCTGGTGATTCAGAAGAAATTTAGTGGACGAATATCTCCGAGTCGTTGTCTCGCATGACGTGACCGGCCAGGCCAAATACGTGTATTCTCAAGCAATAACATCGCAAATGTGTGTTAATTCCCCAAGAATACGCGTCGCCAACCTGACCTACGAAGAAGCGTCCGTCGTCTTCTTTCTTGAGGGTTCGAGTCGACATCACCTCCTGGCATGTAAAGATGATAATTGACTGGTATGTTGGTATTATTTATTTTGCACATTTCGCTGCAATTTTTACCATTGTCATTTTTACCATTGTCATTTTTACCATTTTCACAATTTTTACCGTAAATATACGGTCCAATCCATATTCGATTCATATTGATTTCGAGAAATATCGATACAAATCTCAAAATTAATTGAGTGTAGAAACTACGCTGTAGGTAGAAATATATCTAATGCACATAAGATTAAAATTATGCGATAATTATTATAGCATAGTCAGTCAGTTATACAAATTGATAAAAAGCGAAGATTGTTTCAAGAATCGATTTAAGAATAAATCGAGTCGAAAGGATAAGACTCAAAATTCCATTTTCGAGTCATTTGACTCTCGCAAGGAATGAGAAACATAACATTGGGAATAATATAAACATTTATCATAATAAAAATTTATAAATATTAATAAATGTTCAATTTTTATGTCAATTTTCCGTGCTTATAATCCATTTTACTATGATTTATATGAATATTTTTGATATTCGTCGTACGACGAGTATTTTGTAAAAGATAAAAAATATAGTGGTCTAGGAATTATGAAGAATTATGAATGTCAGAAGTAAGGATTTAACTAGCATATCGCAGAAGAAGTGCGACATTGATGCGCCATGAATGCACGATTAAAGCGATTAAATAACTCGGTGAAATAAACCACACGAGGGCGAGGGTGGCGCATAGCTGAGTATATATACGTGCGATATATGTACGCGGGACAGATTTTAAGCTCGTGAACCGAGTATTACGAGGAGCGGAAGTCAGCAATAATATTCACTTCGTCTATTTTAGTTGGTCGTGTCGCGCGTATATATCTGTGTTTTTAGTATCCATTTCCTCACGGATACTTAAATTTGCGCTACGTGTGAGTACGCTGTATCCGTGCGACGACTTTCGAGTTCATTCAAACGACTTTGTACCAGTACACCTATATTCCATTAGTTTTACGCTCGGACCATCGAGATTTATATGTGTACTGAAGGAAAAAAATATTAGCATCAAACTAAAATCTTAACGTACGGTGCGCGATAAATTAAACAGCGTGATAATATTATTTTATTCGTGTGGTTAAAGCAATGTTTGCTGTGGTCTATATAAAATTATCCAGAAAATTATCTAGATGAAAAAATAGTTTTATTTTATTTTTATCTAGATGATTATATATTATCTTCATCTTTATCTTAAATGAAGGAAGTATTATCTTTTGCAAATTATTTAAGTTACCATTGTAGTGGAATCTACAATGTGATCGCAGAAGTCATATAACAGACATTAATTGCCAACACTAAATAATTACGAAATCTTTATGTATAAGTATGAATCTGATTAAGTTTTAGACTTAGCTCGTATCAAATATCTTTCAATGAACATTATTCAAACAATCGCACTGATATATGTAATTAGAATAATATAAATCATTTAAATCAAGACCTGCATTCATTACGTTTCACATCCTCACTTATACTATCTAATCAATAAATAGTAAAAGTTTTATAAAAATATTGTTTTTATGTTAGAAGACAACGTTTTCAAGTTTAGAGCATTAAATATATCACTAGATGCGAGCGCAGACATAGTGTCAGAAAAATTTTCTTACGTTGGCTTACATGCGTACGTTCCCCTCTCCCCCCCTCTTTCCCCACTTATCACTTTATGAAGCATGTTTTTGTTCTTTTTGAAACGAATGAAATAAGTATTCTGTGTACGCTGTATAAGATTACAAGTCGAGTCCTTTTTGTATCAGTCATTGTTCTTTTTTGTCAATAAATTACATATTACAATATTTTATATCCTACGACTTGCTTAGAGCGATATTATCTTAAAATTACCTAGATAAATTATATATAACTTAATCTTTTATCTAAATAAATTTAAATTTGAATTACCTTTATCTTATCTAATAAATTATCTAATAAAATAAATTTAAATATAATTAATCTTATCTTTATCTATGATTTTAAGTTAGCTAAGCGCGTCAACATTGTCGATAAGTGTGTTTATTGTACGATTTATTCATTGTGCGGAATGCAAGAATGAACACAAGAATGAACGCAATAAACTATTGATAGCAGCAAATGGTAATCGAGTATTAAAATTGTTAGTGTTAAAAATGAGATTATTATGTGCGTGATATCCGTGCTGATAGGAGTTGGCATTCGATTTGGGAATTGCTATTCGATAAACACATCGACGTTTGGTAGAAATCTATACACATTTCGCAACTCGCACTACATCGCGCTATCCGTGCACATCCACATTCATTATACATGTCCAAGTTGCACGTAAACGCAGTGTTTCATCTCTGACCGAAAAGCAGAACTAGCAGCGGAAACAGTCGGAACGGTGAAAAGAGAGATTGTGCTTAGTGGTGATTCAACTGTACGACGGTACGGAACGGTAGAACAGTTAACCACTATGAATGTCTGCCATATAAAGGCAAATATGATTACTGCATTTGGTTTCGTAAACTATATTAAGCTTTGCCTACCCAAAAGGAGGGAAGGAGTTCATTTCCAGAGGAACTCGAAAATTAATAGGTGTTACGCGGCATTGTAACGGCAGGTGTAACGGCATTAGAGTGCGATTCAGTTTCATCAACTCGATTCGAACTTTGATTTCTTCTGTTGATTCAGACAAAAATTCATGCAAAAATCTATATTTTGTTAACAGCTGACAGAGCTTATAATTTCTTGGTCATAGAATTTTATCGTTTATTCGATTATGATATTTAGAAAACGGTGGACAGGCGTAAGAAAAAGAACGCACAATTCGAGAAATGAAAGCCGATAAAGAAAAGGAAAGGAACGCGCACGTAACTACAAGAAAACGCGAAATGTTAGAAACATCGAGATGTTGAAAACATCGGCGCTTCAACGCTACCGATTGGTAAATGAACGCTGGACACCAGCGTTAAACGGACGGTTGCCGCAGAACCAGAAAGCAAGAACATTGGGCGCCGAGCACTTTACGGGAAAGTGATCTTAAAGGTGCTCACTCGATTGAATGGAAATAAAACGTGGACACAACTGCCAATACACTTAGGTTAGATTCGCTGTTCTTGCCGGTCCAAGAAGGAAAAGCTCGACGGCGATGCGGAACTCAGAGGGAGGACGGAAACAATTCCATGATAATAAGATCCAAGTGCCGAAGAGCGTTCGTGCTGTGGCAACGTGCAAGGTGGCAGAGAATGGCGTAATGTTAAGGTGTAATAGCTGAGAAGCGTAGGCGCGTTCGCAAATGAGACATTGGATTCAGTAATGGTGTAAAGCTAAGACTTGAATATAACATAGTCTTTTTACGTAATTCCTAAAATAAGAAAATTGAGTTTTTTTAATATATTGTTAAATCTTACTAATAAATTTTGCTTTCTGTTAAAAATCTCTTTTGTTCAGATCAATAGTCAAAAATAAACTTTGTGTTGAGGAAAAAAATATTTATTATTTGTATTGAAAATTATTTATAATACTTTTCAATATAGTTTAAAATAATAAAAAATTTAAGATTTTTCTCTTTATAAAATACGCACAACGTGCGCGCAAAAACGGTTTGCATACCAAGTGAAAAAAAAACATATAACGTTGTGTCTCGCATACATAAACGAGCAAAGCGTAACATTTCAGCATTTTCTTGTTGCTTTTTTTATAGCTATGTCTCATACGACATACTAATTAATATAACACGTATATAATTTTGATATCAGTGTGTATACAATTCAATAGAGTATCATATAAAGATAAATTCCTCTCTCTCTCTCTCT